AAGTGAGGTACCGTCCAAGAGATGGTGAAATTCAGGGTTAAAGACAGTCCTTGTCACTGCACTTCCCATTCCCTCCAAATCTTCCAATATTGATACTTGGGGGACTGGGGTTTGTTTATTAAAGATGGCTCAATTCTTTCTTATATCCTCTTCCTCTGTCTTTAATTGATTTAACAAGCATTTATTGAACACTTACTAGGCACCGCAAACACCATACTAGGCATTGGGAATACATCCGTGAGCAGGACATTCATAGTTCCAGCTCTAACAAAGCTTCCAATGTAGTTGTTCAAACCTAGGATCAAATTGACAGTGTGAATTTGGAAAAAATAGAGAGCTGTGTTGAATAGTGCAATGAGTAAAAGGTTTGGAGCCAGGCAGAGAGGGTTCGAATGCTGGCTAGCTCACATATAGTTCCATAAACACAGGTAAATTACTTCTATGGTTACTTTCTCATTTGTTAAAAATGCACTTAAATACCACCTAGTTTATAGAGTTGTCCACCAATTCATTCATTCATTCTTTCATTCATTTAACAAATATTTATTAAGCAATCATGAAGTGATCCGCATTGTTTTAGGAAATAGTAGTAAACAAAATAAACAACCCTCTGCCCTCCTTTTAGTAGGAGACAGATAATCAACAAGTAAATACAGATATCCAACAGTGATAAGAACTTTGTGGAGAAAAACGACATGGTAAGGGGGACAGGGTTGCCACTGGGGGATGAGGTTATAATTTTCAATGGGAGGGCAGGGAGGACTTCGCTAAGATGATGACATTTGAGCGAAGGCTGAAAAGGTGCGGGAGTGGGCAATCTCTGAGATATTTGGGAAAGAGTGCCCCAAACTAGGGATAGAGCAAATGCCAAGGGTCTGAGGCAGGAATGGGCCTGGAGGATAAGAGGCACAGCAGGAAGCCCTGTACAGAATAACAAACAAGGCGGGAGTAGTAAGAAAACAGGGGTCTAGATCACGTAGGGCCTTGGCTGGGCATGGCAGAAACTCTGGCTCTTACTCTAAGAAAAACGGGAGGCACTGGAGAGTCCTGATCATGAGTAACCAGATCTCTCCTGCGTTTCAACAGGATCACTCTGGCTGCAGCGCGGAGGCAGAGCCCTGGGGGCGGGGGGCGGGGGCAGCATGAAAGCGGGGAGAGCAGTTAGGATGCATTAATAATGAGGCAGGAGAGGGTGGCTGTCTGGAGAGGGGGATCGTGGTGGAAGTGGTGAGAAGTGGCTGCATCTGGAACTATTTAAGGCAAAGCCAACAGAGCTGATGATTAGTTTGATGTCAAAGGTATGATATTAAGATTTTTGACCCAAGCAACCAGAGAGATGAAATTGCCCTTTACTGGGATAGGGAAGATTCTGGGGGCAGGGGGCATGAATCAGGGATTTGGTTCTGGACATGTCAGGTGTGAAATGCCTAATACACAGCCAAGTAAAGCAGGTAATTGGATAAGTGAGTCTGGAGTGTGGAGAAAGAGAACTGGGCTTGAACTATAAATTTGGGAATCATCAATATATAAATGATATTTAAAAGCCATGAGACTGAATGAGATACTGAAGTGGCTGTTGTGAAGAATAAGTAACACAGAAAGTACCTAGTGTGGCATTAGGCATACAATACATGCTCAATAAACCCTTTCCCCTTGTAGCCACAGGGAATTTGGCAGGTTGTTCTAGAAATAGTCAACTATGCCTTAGGGGATAATTTGGATTGCCTCATGTATATAGTCCAGTTTTCACAAGCCTTTTGGGGGTTAAAAGTTGTTGGTTTCAGCTTTCATATCTTCATAACTCACATGCAATTTTTAATGAAATTAGACTGAGCATTAACATCCCCATGTTCGCAAATGTACATATGGCGACTATAAAACACTACAGTGTCACATCAGACAAGAGGTTACCTGGAGCACAGAGCACCACCCACACCCAGCTGAAACAGATGAAACCTCCATTTAGTTAAATTACCTCCCAGAAGGCTGACATCAGCTCAGGAAACACACACCTGGACACTAGGGTCTGGCTCCTTCATGACTCCAGATGGCTCTTCTCTCTGCTGGACTAACGGGCACATTCCTGGCTCGTGGTGTCACATTTCTCTTCACTACTGAGACTGGGATGTCCTTAGGGTTCTGTCTGGAATGCCCTGCTTCCAGCTAATGACAGGGCTAACCTCAACTCTTCCTTTGATTCTTTGATCAAATGTTACTTTCTCAACGAGGCCTATACTGACTACCCCATTTAAATTTGCAATCCCTTCTCCAGCATTCCTTTGTCCTGCTCTGTTTCCTTCCATAGCATTTACTATCTTCCAAGATACTGAGAACAAATCCTACTTATTACACTTTTTGTTTACTGACTGTCTTGTTCACTGATATATCCTCAGAGCATGGAATACTGCTTGATACATAGTAGTTGCTCAAGAAATTGGTTGAATGAACAAGGACGTGCTTACCTTGATGTTGGGGCAGCAGCCTGTAGCCCTGAGCCTTTCCCCAGGTCCCCTGACTTTGAACAGAAAACTCCTTTCAGAGAACCCTGAGCCTCCCCAGGGACCAGATTTGAACCTCCTGGGGGTATCACTGAATTGGGCTTTACCTGAGTGCACCGGGCAGCCTGAGTGCCCACGCCCAAGGGATTACAAGATTAATTCTTATGCAGCCCATGGCCAGCAATACCCAACGGACCAGCCTCAAGTCTTGCTCCCTCCCTCAGCTACATCTTTGTCAGTTTTCTCATCCTCAAGTCACCCTCTGCTCCTTCTTGGCCCAATCTCCCACTTCTCTCCCTGCTGCACCACACGCTAAGTTTCCACTGCGTTCTCTGAAGCTTTGCTCCTATACATCCTCAGTTTCTTCAGTAAATGTTTCTTCTACCTTATGCTTTCATAGAAACCTTGGTCTCCCTGAAAACACCATATTCTCTATTGCCCTGTGCAATGGAGGCTGCTCCTTCTTCTATACCCCATGCACCTGAGGATCCCTTGTATCTTCTTTGTATTCCTTTTATGCTTCCAAGCCACCTTTTTTCAAAACAAAACAAAAACTTGTTCATTGCACATGCTATCTAGAAACACTATCTCCTACACTTCTTCACTGTTCTCATGTACTCTGTCTCTATTCACTAAAATTTTAGCTAACAAGACATCCTTTCCAATCAAACTTAGAAGGCTGTCCACATGGCCTAGAATTTTTGGTTTTATCCACATTACAAATCATATGGTGCTCAAGAAATATTTACTAAATGAGTAAGTGAAAAAAATGAAATTTGGGGCATGGAGCAAGTGGCGAGCTTTTGGGGGTTATATCCTTCCCAGTTTCCCAGACACTGGTAAGGGCACAGGGCATGTTGAATTTCATCCTTGGGAGACTATTATTATTCGCACTTTAAAACTGAGTCTTAGCAGTTATATAACTCACTCAAGATTATGGCTAGTAAGATGTGGAACTGGGCTTTAAAAATTCATGTCTGACTTCACAGCTCATGTTTCTAACCTCCAAAGACCACGACCTGCCCCCACCCAAACAACAGAGCTTGCAGTTAAAAGACAAGGTTTTGAACAAATCCCATTCCCCAGGGTGTTAACATGTAGCTGACATCTCTCAACTAGCTTGGTATAGATAGCAGACTGTTCTTCCCTCATGGCTGCCTCCATCATGTATGAAAGCTGGAAGAATTACAACTCCTGAACTCATAGTATGAGGCAACAGAAACAGGAAGCCAGATGCCAGGAAAAGGGGCCAGATGCCAGACACTTCAGTGGGAAAGCCAAGGAGCCCCAGATTTGATGTCTTCTATATAAGTGCGGCCATCACCACCAGGAGAAGCTGTGGTCCAGGCCTTATGCAAGAGAAGAAAAGGAGACCCAATCTGACCTTTCATGTATGTCTTATATGGGACAGGGGTCATGGTATACACAGATGAATAACAAAAGAAAAAAAGCCACAGCCAGTTTTGCAACCATTTAGCGCATATTGACCACGTGAGAGGTCCTGTGCAGGGTGTGAACACACAGAGTGGATGGAGCCTCATCTCAAGGCTTCCTGATTTGGACATCCATCTACCATCCATCCATCCATCCTGCAGCCAGGTGTTCAGTGGTTACTGAGCAGGTAACAAACACATGCCAGTGCTGTCTAGGTGCTAGGAAGATCAAGAAGGCAAGAACAGGGAAGGATTCTGGAAGGATTAGATACCATTTACGTGAAAGCCAATTAATCATTTCAGTTAAATCCTTATGACAACACTGTGAGGCAGGTATGTTGTTATCCTCCTAGTACAGAAGAAACGGAGACTTTGAGTGACTAAGTAGCTTGTCCCAAATCACAAGGAGGGTAAATGGCAATCTGGGATTTGAACGAAGCTTTGCCTGGCTCTGAGCCTGTGCTCTTAATAAATTAATAATCATCACACAGCTAATTATAGTACAAGGAGATAATTGGTGACAGAGGTAGGAAATTCACAGGAAGCATAGAAGAAAAGATAGTTTTGTGTAAAACGGGGTAGTCTTTGAGTTTCCTAGTGGAGGAGCAAGGAAAGGAAATTTCAGGCACAGATTAACGAACATATGCAAAAGTCCTGGGAAGCAGAGGGCTTACCTGCAGGACAGTGATGGGGGAAGACTGGCGCCTGGTCACGGAAGGCTCTGCAGGCCAGGCCGCAGGGCCTCTCTGAGGGGCCGCTGCCTCCCGCTGCAACTCAACCGTCCACTATCCTGGAGCAGAAGCCCTCCCAGGGGCTTCCTTGTCCCTCAAACTCCTTGCAGTGGGTCCTTCTCCAACGAGCTCCTGTGCCAGCCAAGTCTAAGGCCTTATGTGTGAACCCACAATCCCATCCTCTCCAGGCCACTGCAGGCTGCTGACAGACTGAGGACAGAGGCCCAGGGAACCCCCCAACAACCACACGGATGATGACAGCTGAGCCTTCAAGGTTGGAAGCCAGCTCTCACAGACTTCTCTACCACAGAGTCAAGGCATTTTCTCATTCTACTCACAGTTTAGAGTCCAGCTTCAGGAGGAAGCCCAATCGATCATACTCTGAAAAAGAAAAGAAAGCAGAAAATGTCACTGAAGGTCATCCACGGCTCACACTAGCAGATTGCATTCCCCAGACCTAGACCATCGGGACAGACCACTGCCTCAAAGAACAGATCCAAATACAGAAGCCAGAACTAAATTTAAGTCACAAAATGTACTGACCATCTGTTTTGTAAAGGACCAGGTTCAAGCCAGGTATTTACCAGGACATCTAGGCCAACCAGTCCTATGCTGGTTTGTAACTGCCTTCCTGCTTAAATGTGGTACTTGAAAATAAAGTTTAGTAAACCACAAAACTGGACACCTGGAAAAGAGGGTCAGATGTGATCTCTGCTCCCTCTAAGCTCTAAGAACAATTTTTGCTCACTCAGCCACGTTAACTGGGGTGAAGATGTGGCAGCCAAGGTGTCCCCAAATCCATGGCGAGAATCCTCTTCATGACAATCACAATTTATATATCTGATTACATAAGGAATAGGAAATTTAACGTGAAATCTAAAATTGAATTGATAAGATGTTTACACCAAATGATAAATCATTAATATTTTATGTTCTTTATATTTTGCCTTATTCTAAAATGAAGTCAAAGCAGTTTTTTAAAAAAAAACTGTATGAAGTGCAAGATTTTAAAAAGAAGACACTTGGAGTCCAAAAAGTAAATAAGCATAGAAAAAAATAATAAAATGCAGCCAGGATAAAAATACCAAAGGCAGATGTCCAAAGGTCCTCTGTGCTTGCTGGAGGAGGATTAAAGATCTGTCCCCAAGATTTCTCAGAGTTAAAACTAAATGCAAAGCACCGGTATAAATGGTTTACAGCGTCTATGAGTAATCCAGGAGAATCACAGCTATTCCTGATACGAAGACTTGAGGGAAGTTTCCTTAGTGTCCCCAAAAATATTTGCCAAAAAAAACTGACAGGACATGTCATAGGGCTGTTTCTTATCACTGTGTTCAATGATTGCAGAGTGTGTGCATGTTCAGAATGGCTTCACCAAAATAAGGTGCTCTACAAATGCAGCTCTCGGATGGCCTGACTTAATCTGAGGATAAACCAGAATACTAAGACCAAAGAGCCACAAGGAAAAGGCTAGGCAGCAGGCTTTTGAGGAACTCAGCCTTCAGTGAACAATGAATGACCAAGAACTGGAAGTTATACCTAGCCACAGGTACCTCCCCAGAGTCATTCTGAAAGCCCAATGAAAGCCTGACTTGTATGCTTTCATAAGTAGCTAAGCTGCGGTGAGTGAATAATTCCTCTTCTTAAAACTGAAGATGCCGACTAGGACACCTAACTCAACAGAAGGCTTGCTGCCCAAGAGAACGCACTTGGGCAAGTGAAAGCCTTTCCTCAAAATAATTGTGGTTTTGCTCTAACTTAAGTAAATGGATGAGAGGCTCTGGTTAATAATACAAGGAACTTATGAAAACCAATATGAAAAACAAACAAAAAAAAGGTTTCAATTGAAAAAATAAAAAACATTTGCAAAACTCAAAGTTTAACACTCTTTCATCAGTCCTATTGTAGCAATCCATGAGAAAGAAAAGCCCATTAACTTGCCAAATACCTGTCGTTTTCCCCTGAGGTAGCCGTCACCTTGGGGCAACTATCCTGCTATTGCTCCTCAGACCTGAGCTACGCCACTTTGAACACCTTGGACATAGGGTGAATCCACAGTTTCGTAGATTCTTTCCAGAGAGGCCAGAAAATGCTTTGTTCCTGCTGCAAACTCAAAAGTCAGGGGTGAAGGAAGAACGCAGATAAATGAGGGAAGTGGGAGAATGTAATGCCCTCCCACAGCAGCTCACACCATTTATTCTGGTTGCATTAAAAACAAGTTGTTGAAATGTCTTTTTTAACTACGCACTTTCTGTGCAGTAATCATTATTATATCTGTGGTTTATTTTCCAATGGCATCTTAAGTTTTGTTCTGCACAAACATATACATACCCTAATTGCATATTAAACATGTAAGAACACTTTGCATTTCTAAAGAAATTATGTCCCTTCCATGGCTCCCTTGGTCTGTTTTCTCTCTTTTGTTCAGACACGTGAATATCAGAAATATTTCACTTTATTCTTCAAGAAAAGGTAACTGTGTGGCTCAATGATGACAAATGGCAGCTGACAGTGGACACGGAGCCCAGAGGGAATGGCACCACCTGGAAACTGCTGCCCTGTTGAGAGAGGCAGCATCCAGCAGCTCCAGCTGACAGCAAGCTCCGCCAGGTAGCGATGTGGGCCAAGCAACGCCACATCTTCTGATTTTTTCAAAGCCAAGAATCTGGATCTCTTAAGGTAAAATCTCTCCATTTGTAAGTACTGGCAATGGATGCAAGGAAAGTTTAAAGACTATGAGGCTCAAACACCCTATGTCCATGGGCAGGATGCAGCTGGTGGGCTAACAATTGGTAAACGCTGTCCTGGGCTGGCAGCTCGCGAGGGCTGGGAGCATTTCTGTTTTGAGGCTGCACACAGTAGATGGTCAATAAATATCTGTTGACTGTCATGAGGATTATTTGGTCACGATGTTCATAAAAACAAATAAAATTAGTCTACCCAAGCGCTACAAAGTAAATGTCGGCTTTCAGATACTAAAGTTAGGTGTTAGACTAAGATGCAAATTTTCAAAGGAAATATATGAACACCTATTATAATGTCCTAAGGTTATGAGAGATTAAGGGAGAGAGAATTTGAAGAATTTCTTTGGAGAGCGCAGTATTATGAACTCCATCTCCCTTAAAGGGCAGATGGGTAGGAAGTACTTGCTTGTCACTTAAGCTTGGTGAGGAAAGCTCGACCTAACCATTAAAGAACAGGGAGACAGTGGACTGCCAGCTGCCTGACTTCTGCCTGACAAGTGTAAAGGACATGAGACAGGCTGGCTGCGAAGAAGTGAGCTGCATTGGAACTGGCCTGCACTCCCAGAATTTGCTGTAGAAAAGGATGCATGAATGAGCTAGCAATGTTTTTTAGGTCCTTTGCGGAAGATCTGCCCAGTGGGTTGAAAGGTCTTCAGCGACAGTAGCAGGGGCAGACACTGGGAGTCCCAGGGGCTGTGGACGGAGTGAGTGACAAGGCTTTGGTGAGTGAGTGTATTACCCACATCAGGGTAACTGCAGAGAAGTCCCCAGTTGGAGGGGGTCTCCAAAGAGCCTACAAGAACACCCCACGAGTGTCAGTGCAGAGAGTGCCAGCACTCTCTTAGGTCTTCTATGCTCACCGTCTCCTTCCCCCCTCTCCCAATTCTAAAGAGGTCAGAAACAGCAGCCAGCAATGGGGAAGGAGTGGCAGGAGAAAGACAAGCAGGTTACATCCCTTTCCCTGGGTCAGGCACCACTGCTGGTACTGAGCCCTAATGCAAGGAGGAGAAGTCACTGTAACTTTGAATGGATTGAAAGCTATGACTATTACATAAAGCTGGACACTAATTTTGGAATTGGTGGCTCAATGTGACCATGAGATTTTTATTACCTCAGAGGTATCAAAAATTCTCTGGACTTCCCACACTGAAAAGAGTTTGAAGGGACAGAGGGAGACAAATGAAGGTGTCTGTGCTTACCCACCAATGTTTCCATGTTCAGTGTAGCAGTCGCACTTAGGCAAATAGGGCAATTTAAGGTTCACATAACCGAAGTGGGGGAAGGGCCAGGGCGCAGAGAGGGCTTCAGGGACGACCCAAAGGGACTGGAATGCCATCAGGCCTCTCTCCGCCGGCTTTACCCTCCCCCAACTAGTTCCCTTCCTAAGTCAGGAAACACAGAGCCAGCAACTTTCAGGCGTACACCTTCAGCTTCGCCACGGAGAAGGGAAGGAGACTCCCATCTCTCTGTTCCCAGTGGCAAAGCTCCCTGGGGAGGGGTAGGAGAGGTCTAGCCTACATACACTCCTAACACCAGTTCAGCACAGTGACTGAGAAGATGGGATCCGTAAAAAAATTATGCTTCCACATGACACACATGATTAGAAGGAGCATTTGCCAGAAGAATGTGCTGCTCTGAACAAAGGCATCTCAGGAACAGAAGGAAGTCTCTGGAGAACCAGAGCTAGCTAAATCTCCCAGGTATAATAGGTATAGCCACTGTTAAATTAATTGGTCCATGGACATTTTTCCTCTCATCCCCATTCCACTTTCTTCTTTGACCAATCTCCTTTTTAAATATTTCTCACAATGCCTTCAGGACCCCCTGAACCAACCACCTGGCTCCCCTCCCTCTATACCTCCTGGCAGACCTGAAGCCTGGCTCTGCCCTGCAAGAGCTCGCCTTCCCCCAGCTCTCCAGGAAGGCTGCTGTTTCTTTCAAATGCCAAGTGCCTGTGGGTAGTGAGGAGGGCGTGCTTCTGATGCTATAGTTCACTGAGCTTCCTGGATCTGTGGGTTTACAGTTTTAACCAAATTTGAATTTCATGGAGGGTATTATTTCTTCAATTTTTTTTGTCTTATCCTTTCTTTTGCAGGCTCCTATTAGATGTATATTAAGCTGCTTGAAGTCTCACCACTCACTGATGCTCTGATCATTTTTTTCCAGTAATTTTTCACTCTGTATTTCAATTTGGGTAATTTCTATTGACATATTGTCCAGTTCGCCACTCTTTTCTTCTGCAGTATTTAATTTGCTGTTTATCCATTCAGTATATTTTTCATCTCACTTATATTTTCATCTCTAGGATTTTTTTAAAAAATCTTACATGTCTTTCCTTAGTATTCTCATACTTTATCCTACCTTCTTGAAGATATGAAATATGATGTAATGTCTTTGTCTACTAATTATATCATTAGTGTTCTCCCTAGACCTGTTTCTATTGATTGTTTTTTTCTTCTCATTATGGGTTGTATTTTCATGCTTCTCTGAATTGTCTGGTTATTCTTGATTAGATGTCAGCCATGTGGATTTTACTTGTTGCATGCAGGATATTTCTCCATTCCTTAAGTATTTACGAAGTGCAATTAAATTACTTGGAAACTGTTTGATCCTTTCAAGGCTTGCTTTTAAGCTTTG